TGTGCGATGTGTTCAGCTAGTTCTGATTTTTTGGTATCCATTTTCGTGCAGAGCCTCTGATGTTCATTGATTCGTGTGCTAATTTTTCTCCCTGCTTCGCCTATATATTTCTGATTGCAGTCGCCGCATGATACACAGTAAACTCCTGAATAATCCAATTTATCTACCCTTTCATGTTGCATCGGTAGACTTGTGAAAAGTTTTGACTTCTCTTTCATGACCACTCGAATATTCCATTTCCTCAATACTGGCCGTAGTTTTTGAGTTAGTTCGCAGGAAGGTTGGCATATCCACTTTTGTGAATCTTTCATCGTCCTTACTGTTCTTTCATAATCCCTGTTCTACCATAGGCTTTTCAAGGCCGGTATGTTTCTTTGTATCACTTCGCTAGAGTGGCCATAGCCAAGGAATATTCCAGTCAATTTGTCTAGCTCGTCCCAGAATTCTACATCCGTTTAGCATAGGCTTCGGATGATCATGCTCATTATTCCTATCTTTAGCCTATAATTGTGATGGAAATAGCGTATTATCCCAGCATACAATTTCTTTTTGAGCGTCCCATTAGAGCAAATCACTTCGACATCCAGGAACGGTAACCGCTGACCCTCCTCTATTTCCATCGTGAATAGATTTCTTTCATTAATCTGGTTTACAAACTTCAGAATCCCTTCCAGTTTTTCTTTTCCATGTGACCAAAGTGCGAAGTAATCATCCAGGTACCGCATGATAACTGCCAGTTTTAGCGGTGCCATCTTGAAGTTCTCTTCTAACTTGTCCATGTATAGGTTTGTCTTAAGTGGTGAGAGCGGCGATCTCATAGGAAGTCTAAATATTTGTTCGTAAATATTCGCGTGGAATCTAAAATAGGAGAATTGGCAAATAGCCTCCATCATTCTCATAATCACATAATAGCTATTTGCTTATTATTGATTCTTTTCGCTGGTGAGATCGTCTGATAATTGACCAATAATATAATGTGCACATACCATTATCTAGTTTCGAACGGCTCAAACTCACATTCTTATTTCCATTTATCTATCTTCCCTCCAACTCTCCCATTGTTTCTCATGGTAACACTTGTTAACGTTTATATGAGATACCGGCCCCTGTCTCTTCGTTATCCTGTTTGCCTCCATCATGTCTTTTTCTCAGCCCAATGTATACTTACTCTCGTCATCTGCTTTATTATTTTTGCATGTGCATGCTATATTTGGTTATATTAGGCTCGATCTGGCCTTGGGGATCAATGGACACTTAATTATTTTGATAAGAAATACATCCTTTGTCATCTCTCGATGCTAAGCCAATACCTTTTGTATTTCCTCGCCACTTTTTAATCTGATGCTAACCTCAAATGTTATTTTTTATTCATACATAAATGGAAAATTGACTTATTTTTATCGTTCTTAGTGCCACTCGATTTTTTCGCCTACTTCTTACCCAGTTGTAATGCAATTCTTTCTTTCGAATCACTTTCTTTTTTACAGATTCTAATTGTTTCTTCCGATTGAATGATCTAATTTAAATACATAATATTTCTATCGCCTTTATTGTTTTACTAAGATTTTCATGCTTGAAAATTTTATCCTTTATTATTTTATGATAATTATTTTGCTGTAGCTATCTTTATTCTCTTATTTTAGTGTGAACATAATTTTTTTCCGATTTAGCTTATTTATCATTCCGTTCTTGCGCTCCTTTAGCGTCTTCTTGTCGCTGTATTTACCTAATAATCTACTTTCTTATGTGCTGATGGTATTCATTCACTTTTTAAACCCTCATTTCAAGGGCTTTATAATTGTTTGTATATACGTATATAAACGTACAATATTAGGTCACCTATGCCTGACCCTTTTCAGATTGTCCATGTGATTAGTGTAATTTCCTCTACCTTGGTTTGTCTTATGTGATTTTGTTAATACGACTTTATCGCATCATCCTATCTTACCTTGTTCCCTACTCTTCCTTCTTTCTGTTTATAACCTCGATCCTTCAGTTAATAATCACAGTCTCTTACATGAGATTTGGATTATTATCTATTTTCTTTCAACAGTGGGTCATCATTTTTATCTACTTGTGTTGCTCCATTAAGGATTTCCCGTGGCTTTTATTTGTCATATGTGGGTATATCCACATTCTCTCCATTCGTGCATGTAAAAATTCTGAACTGACTTTATCGGACTTCTTAACCATTGTACATCCAGTTACCTTCCATGATAGTATGCTCTGCTAATTACCTCTGTTCAATTTTCCTTTTTTATATTTCTCTTACATGTTTACTGAAAATTGAATTGCATTTACTTTAAAGTACTTTATTTTCGGGCAAGATAATCAGCTCATCAACTATTTGCGAGTACTTATTATGTTAGCCTAATTAAAGAGTAAACTTGAGTTATAGCTGGAATTTTGAAGCTATTATAGACTACATTTAAAAATAAGTGCCAGAATAAAGATAACCTAAGTTAATATGCCATATTTTATTTATTCTTTTCCACCATTCAGCCATTCGTCTGTTTTTGTCTCATTTTGCAGAACACGACTAACTAGGGTGTGAATTTTCCTAAACTATATTATTCACTTTTGTTGATGAAAATTTTAGAGATATAAGTGGTCTATGTATGGTAAGAGTTATCGATGTACTAAAATGCACAATTTAAAGTCTCATCGCCAATCTAGTAGAACTTATCAAATGCGATACAATGCATTTAAAATATTTAACAATATGATAAATTAAACGAGTCCAAAGTGTTTATTCGTTTATTTAATATTAATCAATCAAAAATTTTAGAATAATTAATCTTTTAATTGCTGCGCTTTTTCCCGAAACTCATTTTTTGCTTTCACATAATAGTATCATTTATTTCGGATTCATTCTGACTTCTTTGTTAACTTTCTTCTCATGCCGAATATCTTAAATCTTTTAATAAATCATCTTATCTAAATTCAACATATTTTACTTGTTAAATACATCAGTCATGGCCTTTATCCTGTATCGCTAGTTACCCTCTTTGTTTGAAAATATTTCCTATCTGGTCCTTTGAAATTTCACATCCTTGTTTGCGATTTCTGCTATATTCTAGGTTTCTTTGTCTCTACGTGCCATACACGAATGTACTCGTATTTGAATTTTTACAGACGTGTACTTGCCTTATGTTTACCTTGATTTATAAACTGACTTTGAAAATAGGGTACTGACGCAACATTATTTTACTCTGCTATTTCACTAGCTTGCTCGTGCCTTTTCCTACTTTTTTAGCACTGAAAATGAATGTATTTTAGTATTTTACTCTGTTAATAGTTTTAAACTTATAAACTCGTATGAGTCCTTAGATGATCTTAATTATTTTGTCAATTCTAACTAATTTTAATATCGATTAGTAATTTTCTTTGTTTTCTCTGTAAATTGCACTGATTCCCTCTAGTAATAGTGCATATTCAATTTTAGATTCACTCTTATTTTTTCACGCTTTAAACTTTCCTCTCCTTCTCATTACTGCAGAACTTTTTAAGCTTTCCAACAATCTCTAATATAAGAACTGTTTTTAGATCATCTTACGCGACCTAATGGTATTAAGTTCTTATGCTTACTGGACCCGCAGCACTCGTTTTAAATTTTATAAGCTTGATTTATCTTTGGTGGGTCGGTATGATCTGCTCGCAATCCATGTCTATTGGATTATTTTCGCCATTCGCCTATAAACGATTTGCACGGACTCATTTTTTTCCAATACTCTTATTATAATAACGAATCTTTTGTGAATAATTACTGAGCAAATTGCACCGACAGGCTTGTATTTTAATCACTTCATCTATAATTCATCTTACCAAGTCATAAACGTTATGGTAAAGCTTTAAAATCTGGTTTGTTTATAGTTTTGAACCTACCTATTCTTATCTTTGTAATACTTTTCTTAGTGAATGGGAGTGTTAAAATATGATGACATTTTTTTTCTGTAGATCCTTCTAGAATTCATATTATCGGCTTGGTTATATTTTCAAGAAAAGTAATTTTTTCTTATAGTAGCTTTTGCTTTCATGTTTGTTGGCCATATTTTTGTCGTGCAAAAGTTCTCTTGCTTCGTTTTTCTTACTGGGTTGTGTCGTCAAGGCGATCTTGATTAACGCTCCTTTTCTGGAATATGCCATAGTTGTTAGGTTAATTTCCAGGCTCATCCGTTGATTTGATTTATTCTCTTGTATCGTCAGTGGGACTTGCCATTCCCAGCAGCAGGCCAAAACCTTGTCCATGATAGATTGTAGATGTTTATTAATTAAAAGTTAGTTGACGCTTAAGTGGCTGTCACTGAGGCAAAATCATATGCCCTCAATATATTGAGATTATGCCTTTAATCCTTTCTCATTTACTTACCCATAAAACTTATAATTCTCCAAAAAAATTTTTGACCAATCTATATATATTTCCTTAGCTACGCCTTACTGAAGCCGAAATGGATAGGGCTAGACTTCGAAAGCAGTTGGAGAAAGAGCGTTCGGAAAGAGACGAACTTGAGTCATTATTCGAAGTAGTACGTGACGAGTGTGAACAAGCCTCAAATCGTGCCCGTGATGCCGAAATACGATTAGCAAAAGCTGAAAAATTGTTGACAGATCTTCGGGATCAAACTGATGAACTGGCGGAATGCAAGGCTCAACTTGTTGTTGCCAAGGAAGACAATAATAGGTATGCTTTTGATCTACCTTCCACATTAGAAGTGGCATTAAGCTTTTTCATATACTTCAACTTACCTAATCCCTTGTTTACAAGCAAATACTATGTATTCAATCTTGGCTTAGCAGTATTTAGAATTTTTAAAGCAGCTCTACTTAGACAGTGAACCAGATTTGAAAGTCTACTCAGATGTGCTATGGCTACGAGCTATGCAAAGTATTTTTGGATTTTTATACTTTTTTTTCTTAATCTGCCTATG